AACGCCTGCTGAATCAGCCAAAACTCCGAGAAGTGGGTGACCCTACGCCTTCCTCCCGGAGGCAGTTACCATGACAAAAGACTTCACCGGTATGGACTCCTCATGTGATCGCTAAACAACTATTCCTAGAGAGGAAACTTCTCACATGCTAGAGCACTCGCTTAGCGTGTCAGAGGCAGTGGAATCCATACCCGTGTTCTCCAATCCCTTCTTCGATATAACACTTAAATGTTTAACCCCTTAAGGACCAGTGACGTCAATAGTACGTCACTGGCACCGGGCCCGTTTAAACACACTCCCGCCGGGACTCTGTTTAAACTTGTAAAGCCGACTGTCAGCTTTACAATAGAAGCGATCAGGCGACTCAGCTGTCGCCCGATTGCTTCTCCGAGCCGGGAAATGGGCCACCAAGCCCATGACGATGGGCTTCACGTGTTGGGTATCGCCGTGCACGCTGGAGTGAGAGCAATAATTCTAAGGCCAATATTTATGCGTATCTCTAAACCTATGACCTGTGGGGGCTTTTAAAGTGTTGTCTATGGAATTTTTTGGGTACTGAATTTTGTTGCAGTTTCACGGATGCACACAATTTTTAACCTGGGCATGTTGGGTATCTATTTACTCGTTGGAACCTCATCTCTTATATAATACTAAAATAAATGGGTATTTAACTGTGTTTTGGTGCACGTAATGGCATTTTTCACTACATTTTGGGGTTTGATAATATGTTGCGCTAATATCATGCAACATAAACATTCTAAACACTAATGTGTAATGCATTTTCTATTTCCTAAGATTTCCCAAAAAAGACTATATTCTTTAAAAAAGAAAAGCGTATGTCCGTAATAAGGGCGCAGATGTTATGACTGAACCAGCCCGGAGAGCTAGGAAGAAGATGCCGCTCATCGATGACGTACAGTTTTAAAAGGGTGGCTCGCTTTTTCCGGCACAGGGTGTAGGAACAATGGGATTTGTTGACATAAACATTATGGTAGCCGGATCAATTATGATATCTGGTATCCCAAAAACAATCAATACTCAATGAAGACGTTGAAGACGTACACTTTTCTCCCGGCTCTGGCCCTCCCAGCTATATGTTCCTTTGCATCCCTACTTAAAATCGTCAATAGTTGTTCGTGCATATAAATGAGAGTGGTGAATGTGGGCATTGATCCCACTACCTCTCACATGCTTAGCAAGCACTCTACCATTTGAGCTAGTTTCCCTGTGTTTGCAACTTCCATGTGGTCTGGAGGTTGGACATTTATTGGTCAGACAGTGTCGGGGGGGGGGGCGCAATTACTGGTCAAATCCTCTAAAATGGCAATATTCAAAAAAAGACAATTGCCCTTTCACATGACAAGAACTTATCCATCAGAATGTCTCCCAAGTGACGTAACATTAAGGCAGGCCATGGCTCTGAAATTAAGGTAAATATGCAACTGATTCTGCAAACATGATTTACCTTTAGCTAGGGGCAGGGGGTGAGTAGGCAAGAAGAATAAATCCCTTTTATGCAAAAAATGGAGATGTACTTTAAGGAAACTCACCATTTAGGAGAATGTGACCCGTCGGTGTCCCTCTTCTGTCCAAGGGGCTTCATCCTCTAGTAAGGGAAATTAGCTCAAATGGTAGAGCGCTCGCTTAGCATGCGAGAGGTAGCGGGATCGATGCCCAGCCATTTCTTTGAAAGAATGCATACAGCAGACCTTTCCAGCTTTGCATGGGCAGAACTGAAATGTTATGGTCATGCAGCAAAATGTCATCTCCTTAGACTTTTTTTTATCTCCGAGGATTCAGTTTGGTGACTTAGCCGGTGCTTCAGCTGCCTCCTGAATGAGATGCCAGACATCAATGACCTATAGAGTTTTAAAATGGCGGCTCAGTCTTCCTGGCACAGGGTGTACGGAGCAATGGAATTTGAGAACGTAAACATTATGCAAAATGCCATTTTGCAAAACGGTGCCATTTATGCAAACGTGCTATTGTGTTATATTCGCCTTTGCCTTTCCTTAGGCATCGGTGACGTAGCCATTGCCTCCCAGCTGCCTCCTGTGAAGGCGACGTATGCAGTGACTTCCAGAAGCTCTCGTAGTTGAAGCTCATGACTGTACTATTTTCAAAGATCTTCACTGGAAATAGCACATTCATTAATAAACAAAAAGAGTATTGTGGGATCTGCAACAGACGTCATCATTGGGCCGGCGGGGAGAGCTAGGAAGATTAAATGGGCCACCGGTGACCTAGACCTTTCAAATGGGGGTGTGTTTTTTTTTCGGCATAGGGTGGACCGAGCGAGCAATGGTCTCTGGAAACATAAACATTGATGAGGCCAGTTTCAATAAGAATATTTAGGTGTGAACTATATTAGTTTCATTGATGTTGGCGGTTTAATAAAAGAGAGGGTGTGACGATAGCGTGTACAGGTATCTCTACAGGGGAACCAAATATGTGACCACACTTCAGATGGCTGCATCCTATGATGCATGTTGAATTTTGCTAGCCATCAGACACTTGACATCTAGCAGGTTTTTTTTTTAGTTTTTTTTAATGGGCTGTTCATTTTAATTTTACTATTTTTGGCTGTAAAATAGTAATAGTAAAAATTATTTCTTCGGAATCCATAAAAAAAAAATCAAATTATTGATATCACTTTGTACAATGAGTACTGACACAGTTATTGGCGAATAATAAAGACATTTTATTTATATCAAATACAGGTATTCCTCACTTAACGACCGAGTTCCGTTCCTACGGCCAGGTCGTTAAACGGATTGGTCGTTAAGTGAGGAACTCTATACAGTACTATATTGCATTAGTACAGTACTGTATAGCGTTGCCGATGTACAGTACTGAACAGTGCTGTACTGCAGGTCCACATGACTCCTTTTTGAGAAAGTTAATCTACACACAATGAGATAGAAAATTCCGGTATGTATATAGATGTTCATGTGTTTTTTGTGATTTATTCTTTACTCTGGAATCCACATTCACTTAGATCAAGCGCAACTTATTTACCATATTAGATATCTTCTTCACACAAAGTTGCTGCTGGTCCTATAAGCTATTTAGAATCCATTCCTAGCGCAGTGAGCCTTGGAACCAATAATAATAATAATATAACATCAATAATAACATTAATAATAAAATGATAATAAAATAATAATAAAAATAATAAAAACAAAATAATAAAATGAAATAAAAATTAAATAATAATAGCAATAATAATATCAACATTTATTCAGTTAAAATGAAATTATTTTTAAATAAGCATTGCTGGAAAAGGTTTTGCACTTGCTTGTTTTATTTTACTGCTGGCTTGCTCCTCATTGTGAAGAGCATGCCACTTTTCAGAGCCAGTCTATCCGATACTTTGCATAGGATGTGACGAGATATCCATCCATTGTGTGTGAGGAGGTTGGGGGAGGAACGCATGTTGTAAAATCGCTTCATTCCATTGATAATTTTTTCCAAATGTTCTTGGTTTTTGTAAGTAAGGCAGCAAACCACAAGGAAGAAAACTTTCTGTTCCTATTGCTCTGCGCATTGTAATGTGATCTTCGGTGACATTCCACAGCTACTATTCTGAATATAATGACGATGACAACGGTCGTGAAATTGTTCTAGCTTTCTCTTACCACCGTGGTAAAACATTAGCCGGTTAGCTATCAGACGAAGACCGATGGGGCTGCTGATCTTTATGCTTTTTGCAAATGTGTTTATGTTTAATAAGAACTCTGGGGCAGTTCTAAAAAAAGAATCAATTTTGTTCAGCTATGGCTACTTTTTACATGCGGCTGCATGTAATCCTTCTCTGTACGAAACCCCCAACATCCCCAGCATCACATCTGGCTGACAGTGACGGGTTCACCTGCTGTCCTGATTATAAACCACCACAAGAGAATGGGGGGTATGGATTTTATTTAATCTACCACAAGTTCCCTTTAAGACAGCTCACAGAGGTCAGGTAGGGTTCAGACATTAATATACGAGATATCTGAAAAGCGTTATTATTGTAAATTAACCCTTTTATGACCAGCCACGTGCAGTGTACATCACTGGCACCGGGTCCGTTTACAGTTTTTAAGATGAATATTACATTATTTTAAGTTAATTAATATTTTAAAATGTGATTATTTAAAAATGTATTTAATTAATATTAAATGAAATAAATGTGAATAAATGTAAAAATAATTTTTAAATAAAAGGTCCACCGCCCCTGCGAGCACACGCTTCTTCACGTAAACACGCGTCGGGTGCGCCTACGTATGAAAACGACGATCGCGATACACACGTTGGGTATCGCAGCGCACGCCGGAGTGAGAACAATAATTCTAGGGCCAATATTTACGTCTATCTCTAACCCGATGGCCTGTTGGGGCTTTTAAACTGTCCTCTATGGACTTTTTGGGGTACTGAATTTTGTCGCCGTGTCACGGACGCCCACAATTTTTAACCCGGGCATGCTGGGTATCTATTTACTCATTGTAACCTCCTCTTTTATATTGTAGGAAAAAATGGGTATTTTATTGTGTTTTGGGGCATTTAAGTGCATTTTACACTAAATTTTGGGGTTTGATAAGGAGTTGCGCTAATATTGTGCAACATAAACATTTGCAACTGCCACCATTTTATTCTACAGGGTCTTGGCTTTTAGAAAATAAATTTGGGGGTTTGATAATATGTTGCGCTAATATTGTGCAAAATAAAAATTTGCGACTGTTGCCATTTTATTCCACAGGGTCTTGGCTTTCAGAAAATATGTAATGTTTGGGGGGTTTGAAGTAATTTTCAGGCCTAAAATGTAGTTTATAACATGTAAACAAAAAAAAATTACAAAAAAGACCTTAGTCATGAAGGGGTTAAAGGACGGTAGAAACGTTCCTATTGGTTGCCCCGAGTGATGACAGCGGTATAGAAAAAGAACAATGTGAATATTTGATGTCTCCCGGGAAACTCAAAATCTCGCCCCGATTAACACCCTGCGTGTCTCTTTACAGGCTCGGGATACCCGTCCGATGAAAGCTACAACAACGAGGTTTACGTGGAACAGCGTCCACCGGCCCGCCAGCCGGACTACATGGGTAAGAGGCCGTCACTATGACAACGGCGGAGTACGGCCGCCCGAAATATTCACAGACACGCCCCGGCTGAACTCCTCCCCCTATCGGGGACCTTTGTCTATAGAAAAGGTTCCTTCACCACTCAGGCCCCACAGCGTGAGGCTGTTTTTTTTGTTCACCTTGAACGCACATTGCGGGATTTGTGGGGCGATATATAAAACATTTGCATAGCTATTCATCCACCGGCGTGTACATTCATTCTGTGTGAATTAATCAACATTCACCCCTTTACTTTCCGATTTTCCGCATATTGCATAAAGCTGTGTGCAAATCGGGTGACACTGAATGGTATTTGCTCTTCGGATCGAATGTTCTTAGAGTATTTTCTATGTTGACTAAATGTTCTTAGAGTATTTTCTTTTAGTATCAAAAGTTCTTAGGGTATGCTCTCTTCTAGTTGAATGTTCTTAGGCTATTTTATCTTAGGATCGAATGTTCTTAGGGTATTCCCTGTTCTGATTGAATGTTCTTAGGCTATTTTTTATTTCGCGTAAATGTTCTTAGAGTATTTTTTTTAGTGTCAAATGTTCTTAGGGTATTTTCTCTTCTGGTTAAATGTTTTAAGAGTATTTTTTCTTCTGATTGAATGTCCTTATGCTATTTTTTATTTTGGTTGTATGTTCTTAGAGTATTTTAGTAGTAAATGTACTTAGGGTATTTTCTTTTAGTTGTATGTTCTTATGATATTTTCTATTAGGATCGAATGTTCTTAGTGTATTCTCTCTTCTGATTAAATGTTTCAGCCTATTTTCTATTTCGAGTAAATGTTTTTAGAGTATTTTTTTGTAGTATCAAATGTTCTTAAGGTATTTTTTCTTCTAGTGGAATGTGCTTAGGGTATTTTTGATTACGGTTGAATCTTCTCAGGGTATTTTCTTTTAGTATCGAGCGTTCTTAGGATATATTCTCTTCTGATTGCATGTTCTTAGACCATTTTTTTTTTATTTTGGTTGAATGTTCTTAGGGTATTCTGTCTTAGCAATGGATGTTCGTAGGGTATTTTATTTTAGTATTGAATGTTCTGACGGTGTTTTCTCTTCTAGTTGAATGTTCTTAGGCTATTTTCTATTTCGGTTGAGTGTTCTTAGGCTAATTTCTCTTAGTAGTTGATGTTCTTAGTGTATGTTCTCTTCTATTTGAACGTTCTTAGAATATTTTCTATCAGTATTGAATGTTAATAGGGTATTTTCTCTCCTAAATTAATGTTCTTAGTTTATCTTCTCTTCTGATTACATTTACAATGCTTTACACAAGAATAAAAAAGAACCTTGATTTTTGGAAATTAGACTAATTTTCGGATCTCATTGGACTGATAATAACTCACCTTGTTGATAATGAGGATACCTTTCCTGGTATTTATTTCTAACAATCCTTCTTCGTCTGCTTTCCAGTTTCCCGCTGGTGCTACGACCTGAAAGTTCAGGATGGAGAAGCGGCTTGTTATTCTCCCCGAGGTCCGGGCTACCGCAGCACCCTCGGGACTCGCTGCAGCCTGTCATGTGACCAGGGCTTCCGTCTGATTGGACAGAGCGCGGTGCGCTGCCTGCAGAGCCGCCGCTGGTCTGGATATGCTCACTGCAGAAGTAAGTGACTATAGTAAGAAGAATTGATGGGATATAAGTGACTATGGTAATAACATTCGATGGGATGTAAGTGGTTTCAGATTTTCTTAGAACGGTTACATTTTCCATCAACGCATTGACATCATTAACCCCTCATGAGCCGATTCATCTTTCATGCCGAGACTTTGTACTTTCCATCATCCTGGACTCGGACCTCACCTTTCTTCCCCACATCCAATCACTATCCAAATCCTGCCGCCTTCACCTTCCTAACATCTCCAAAATATGCCCCTTCCTCACCAATGAAACCGCAAAGCTACTCATACACTCCCTTGTTATATCTCGTCTTAACTTTTGCAACTCCCTCCTCATTGGCCGACCTCTACACAGGCTCCTCCCCCGTCAGTCTATCATGAATTGTGCTGCTCGACTCATCCACCTGACCAACCGCTCAGTGTCTGCAACCCCCCTCTACCGATCCCTGCACTGGCTTCCATCCCCCACCCACCTCTGCCAATCCCTGCACTGGCTTCAATCCCCTATCCCCCTCTGCCAATCCCTCCACTGGCTTC